GGGGGGGGGGGTAGCAAGCCACAGCTGCTGTGATGGGGAGAGTAGGAAGGATAATAACAAGAGGTGAACCTGGGCTTCTGGAAGACCCCGCCCCAGAGGGCCTGGGGCCTACACCAGCGGAGAGGCCCCGGTGTGTTGCCTGTACCTTGGCTTCTGCTACCCCCATCCTAGGTGCTAGACTCTTGTTCAGGTCTTGTATGAGTATTTATTGAGCGCTTACTGCACATACATAAGTAGCAGTTAGCTTCCCACACCTGCCTGCATCATCTGCCCTGCCCCCCAGCTTTCATGTGTAGCCTACCCCCGCTAAGGTGTGCAAGCACATTCAGGACCATGTGCCTATCTGTATGCAGATACCCCTACCCCGTGCTCACTCCCCTCCCCTCCCCCAGGACTGAGCCCAACCCCGACTTCCCAGCTCTGCTGGTGGAGAAGTTGCTTCAGGAACACCTGGAGGAGCAGGAGGTCGCACCCCCAGGTGACCCCCCCTTTGTATCATTACCCTCTCATTGTTGGAGGGCCATGAGTGCTGGCTCCAGGCCCAGCCAGCATCAACAGGTTTGGTTGCAGCGGGAGCTGACCACAGCATAGAGTGGTGCTCATTGTGTTTGTTTTCCTCTCCTCCAGCTCTGCCGCCTAAACCACCCAAGGTAAAGCCGGCCCCTGCAGGGCTGGCTAATGGGGGGAGCCAGCCCTCCCTGCAGGATGCTGAGTGGTACTGGGGGGACATCTCCAGGTAGGGTTGTGGGGTAGGGCCATGTGGTAGGCAGGGCCTGAAGAACAGGGTCTCTGGTAAGGAGGCCCCAATCCTGTGTGTCCCCACAGGGAGGAGGTGAATGACAAACTCCGGGACACACCTGACGGCACCTTCCTGGTCCGAGATGCCTCTAGCAAGATTCAGGGAGAGTATACCCTGACCCTTAGGTGGGGGCCTGCCCCTTTGGGGATGACTGGGGTGAGAGGTGGGAGGAGGACGTGTGCAGTGTCAGGGACAGGAAACCTGAAAGTCAGGCTTGGGGTCCCAGTGGGCACTGACACCCCCTGTTATCCACCCCTAGGAAAGGTGGGAACAACAAGCTAATTAAGGTCTTCCACCGTGACGGGCACTATGGCTTCTCAGAGCCACTTACCTTCTGCTCTGTCGTGGACCTCATCACCCACTACCGCCACGAGTCGCTGGCCCAGTACAATGCCAAACTAGACACGCGGCTCCTGTACCCTGTGTCCAAGTACCAGCAGGTCTGTGGCCTGGGTGGGAGCCAGAGAGGGTGGTCCTGGGCCTCAATTTCCCAGGTGACTTCACTGATCACACCGGGTGTCCTCAGGACCAGATTGTTAAGGAAGATAGTGTGGAAGCAGTGGGTGCCCAGCTCAAAGTCTACCACCAGCAGTACCAGGACAAGAGCCGCGAGTATGACCAGCTCTACGAGGAGTACACACGCAGCTCCCAGGTACCTCAGGCCTGCACACATGGGGAGACCGAGGCATGGAGGCCAGTGGCAAGGCCATGGGGACAGACAACTACTTCCAGGTCTCAAAGCAGTCACTTAGCACCAGAGACTACCCTAAAAACAGAAATAAATGTATGTGGGTTAAGAAAAAAAAAGAACAAATGAGACGACACCAACCAGCCTTTCAGGAGCAACTGGGCTAGTACCTGGGAGATGTCTCAGTTAAGGCTATGCATCTCTCAGTACCTCAGTTTCCCCATCTGTAAATGAACTGTGGGTCTTAATTCCTTCTCCATTAACTTCACCTTAGAGGTTAGTCATAGGGATGACAATAATCTGATGCAGGGTTAGGCAGATGGTCAGGGGGTCACATTAAAGAACAGCATCTTCTAAAACAGGGAAGGGGAGGTTTTCTCATTCTGAGACTTTGTTGATAAACTCCTTTGGCAATTTGAGATGCAACTTACTCAGATCAAATGTCCCTCTCAGGCTTGTAATGGCTTAGTTACCCTGTGGTCCCTGAAGGATTTCTTTCTTGTCCTCTTTTTACTAATGGGTCAGCTGAGGCTCTGAGTAGACAAGATGCCTGTCTGGGATCTGTCAGGAACATCATGACCTTGGACATGACTTAGGCCCCCTGAGCCTTAGTTTCCCCATTAATAGATCTGACTTTGTAGGACGCTGTTGGCAGGTTCTGTGAGACGGTTCACAGGAAGTGCTTGGTACAGCATCTGCTCTCAGGAGCCCCATTAACAGTAGCAACTAGATTTATCATTAATTATCAGCAGTGCTAACAAGTCCAGGTGTTTGTAAGTTGCCCAAAAGGGGTTATATGAGGAGTATGTTTGGGGAATGGGGGATTGAAGGTTGAATAGGAGTTCATTTGGTACAGTAAAAGCTAGAGGAATGACATGCCCAGTGGATGAAACAGCTTGAGCAAAGAGTTGGGATCTGCCATCACCCTTGTGAGGGACTTGTAGGGAGTTTCCAGAAGATGCTAGGATTCACCCCCTCCTCCAGGAACTACAAATGAAGCGCACTGCAATCGAGGCCTTCAATGAAACCATCAAGATCTTCGAAGAGCAGGGCCAGACTCAAGAGAAGTGCAGCAAGGAATATCTGGAGCGCTTCCGGCGTGAGGGCAATGAGAAAGAGATGCAGAGGTGAGTCCAACTCCTCTGCCCTGCCCTACCCCACCCTATCTGGTACAGTGCAAGTGGGGAAAGGAAGGAAATAGAGGGGGAAGTTGGGGTTCCAGGGAGAGGGAGGGTCAGTTGAAGTGGGTTTTGAAGGCTGAGTTCGCCACAGGAAAAATCAGGGAAACAGCATGCGCAAAGACTTAGAGGCTAGGAGCCATCCACTGCCTGTGAGCCACTCCTCCCCCAGGATCCTGCTGAACTCAGAGCGTCTCAAGTCTCGCATAGCTGAGATCCATGAGAGCCGCACGAAGCTGGAGCAGGAGCTGCGGACGCAGGCCTTGGACAACCGGGAGATTGATAAGCGCATGAACAGCCTGAAGCCAGACCTCATGCAACTACGCAAGATCCGAGACCAGTACCTCGTGTGAGTGCCTTATGCTTGCCTATGGCCCCATTGTGAGGACCTTGGCAAGGGCTCTTTTCCCACCTGGGCCTTAGATGTTTTTGTGCACCTGCTGTATGCTGGGCACTGTGCTGAGCAACCATGCACACGTTTGTCCTCTCCAAGTCCGTTGTAAGCTTCCCCCTTTCCAGCTAGGGAAACTGAGGTGCAGAACAGATAACTGTTGTGCCAAGGCCAACAGCATTGCGTGCAGCCCCTAAGACTGAGCCTCTGGTGGTGATAAGACCCTGTGGGGTGGTGCATTCTGGAGGCTCCATAAGTGTTAACAGAAACAGAATAAATAGGGGGTTTCCTGGCAGAGCCCTCCAGGCTCTTCTACCTTCAAGCTGGCCCCTTGTAGCAACTGGAGGTATCGCACCTAAACTCACCCTCCTTGGTCAGCCCTTGCCTCCAGCCAGGCTGGACTGGATCCCTGGGCCCTGGCCCTGGCCCTGCCTCTGCTGCACCGCTCACCTTTCCTCTTCCTCTCAGATGGCTCACCCAGAAAGGCGCCCGGCAGAAGAAAATCAACGAGTGGTTGGGAATCAAAAATGAGACTGAGGAGTGAGTGACCACATGAAGGGGTACAGGGAGGGCTTCCCAGAAGAAGGGCCATTTTGGGTGGGTTTTGCAGAATACGAGTAGGAGTTCACCAGGAAGGGAGCATTGTCCAGGTGGCAGGGGTGCCTCAGAGGCTCTAGGGTAAGTGACCAAACCCCGCCCTGCCTCCCCCATAGCCAGTATGCACTGATGGAGGATGAGGATGACCTCCCCCACCATGAGGAACGCACCTGGTACGTGGGCAAGATCAACCGGACGCAGGCAGAGGAAATGCTGAACGGCAAGCGGGATGGTACCTTCCTCATCCGTGAGAGCAGCCAGCGGGGCTGCTATGCCTGCTCTGTGGTGTGAGTGCCTATGGGGGTGGAGGAGCCGCATGTTCCTTCCAAGAGCTCTTATTGAGCACCTACTGTGTACTAGGCCTTGGGAAGAAAGCTGGGAAGAAGACCCCCGTGGCTGCCACAGGAAGAAGGGATTATTGGAGATAGGGGAGGAAGCTGGGACAGTGTTCAGGCCAGAGATGGCAAGGCCTAGACCAGGTCGGGGTCTGGAACCAGGTCAGGGTCTGAGAATTGAGGGAGTGTCTGGACAAGTCCATGAGGTGCCCACCTGACCACCTGTTTGTCCGCACCACAGGGTGGATGGCGATACCAAGCATTGTGTCATCTACCGCACGGCCACTGGCTTGGGTTTTGCGGAGCCCTACAACCTGTACGGGTCTCTGAAGGAGCTGGTGCTGCATTACCAGCACACGTCCCTAGTGCAGCACAACGACGCGCTCACCGTCACGCTGGCACACCCCGTGCGAGCCCCGGGCCCTGGGCCCCCGCCCGCAGCCCGCTGAGCCATGCAGAGCAGGACTCCATCCTTCTGTCTCTCTTCTTTATGAAACTTTCTCTGTCTCAATCTCTCTCTTGCTTTCTCTGAGTCTCTATCTCTCCCTGTCACTCTCTTTCTATCCCCATCTCTCTGTCCTCTCTGTCTCTCTTAGTCTCTATACCTCTTAAGTCTCTTTTAGAGGAGCACACCTCCTCCACCCCATGCCCCCTTTCCCTATGGGCACTGCCCTCCCCTGGCTCTGGCTGCTCCCACAGGTCCCTATGGTCCCCCAAGCTCTCCACCTGCCTGTACCTGCCGTGTTTACAAAGGCCCCTGGGGTGCTCAGCCCCAGCCTGGGTACCCTGATTTTTAAGCCATAGACCTGGGGTCAGGGCAGGAAGGAACTTCGCTGGGCCACTTCCAAGAACCTCAGCTGTGATATTTGGGGCCGGGCGGGTCCCGCCCCACAGACCCAACTTCCCCTTCAAACCCTGAAGTGAAACCTGCCACTGGTTATCCCCACAATGGAGCTGCTGCCGAGAAGCCTCCCCCCCTGTCCCCGGCAGAAAACAAAATTATTAAAAATAACCTTGCAAGATGGCCCTATCTGATCTCAGGCCTCCCAGGAATCAAGGCTGCTCCTGGTACCACTGGGGCAGCCGAGATGCACCACTGCTCACAGCACCTCCACTTGATATCGTTTCAAGGCTTCTTGATCATGTTGGGTTCTGATTTTGTTTCCTTGACTGTAAACCCATTTTCTCTCCTCTTTTGGGACAAGAGCCCCGGTTTTCTATGCTGCCGTGGACCCCTTCCTGCCTGCCCAGCTAGGCTGGCAGGTGGGTTTTGTATGGTACGTTGATACTGATATGGATATAAAACATTGAACTCAGTGGATGCTTCTGTTGTTGGTGGAGCTTCTCCATGGCCACTGTGTGCTGGGGGCCCTGACATTCACGTGGTCACCTAGAGATAGGCTTGAATTTAACTCATGCTGCCAGTGAGAGCCAACAACCCCTGCCCCCAGTTTAGCTGCTTATGTCCAAAGAAGTTGAGAGACCTGACCAAGCAGAGAGGTTCAAACCCTGAGCTCTGGCCTGATCAGGAAACCCCAGCCCCTAGCCCAGCTCCTCACTGTCCCCCAGATTGGCCCCTAGGTTTGAGTCCCAGCACTCAGTCACCAGCCATGCCCTCTGATGTGCAGCTTCCTCATTGCCAAGTGGGGTCAACAGTCACAACCCCTACCATGCCACCCAAAGGGTTCTTCCATGTGAGCTGGGTCCTCAGCATCTTTGACTTTGACCCCTGTTCACCATCCCCCATCCCTTGGCCCTCCCCACCCCCAGGGCTGGGAGCCTCTGCCTTCCCTCCCCTCCCCATACTGTATATATCAGGGCCCAGTGCTCCTAAGGCAGCCCAGGGCACCGACCTGGTCCTGGTTCTGCTGGGCTCTCCAAGGGACAGTAACTGCCTGACCACAGAGCCCCCAAGCCTTCCTAGGCACTGTCCCTACTCTGTGCCCAGTAAGAAAACACCCCATAACCGTAATCCAGACACTCCCCTATGGTTCTCATCTACTCTATGGCCACTCAGGATAAAGGTCACTTTCTTGGACCCCTGACTAGCCAACTGAGTGATTCTGGAGTGGGGGATGGGGGCAGATAACATCCCAGGAGTCCTCTAGCCTGTACTCCACCACCAGCTGGGTTTCCTTGGGAAAGTTGCCTTCCCTCTCTGATCCTTAGTTTCCTTTTACCAAGTGGAGTGAATAGTTGCTACCTGGGCCCCCAACGGGATATCTCTGAGAGTCCCATGATCAAATGGGTGGGGTTATGTGTATGAGTCCATCCAGAATTGTAGCAATTATATTTATCATTATTTCTTCCATCCTGCCCAGCACAGGGAGAGCATCCAACTAGCTCCCAAATCTGTGTTGCTTTTTCAGAGGCTTCAGGAAGGAAATGGGTTTTGCTAAGGGTCCTAAGGGATGGTATGGGTGAATCATCCAGCCATGGGGACTTAAGGCAAAGCCTGGCTCCCAACCTGTTGCTGTGAGCCTGCATGTGCAGGCTAGTGCTTCCCTAGACTGGAGGGGGACATGGGCTGTGGCGTTGGGGATTTGGCTGTACTCCAGGGCAGGTGTGGGCCTTTCCTCCTGTGGAGTTTGGTTCTGTGTCACAACTAGGATTTGAGGCCCTACAAAGTGTGACTATCTCAGTCATTCTCCCAATACCCCCAACTTCCAATCCTTCATCAGAGCTATTCTGTCTGCCTGTACTGCTGTCTTGTGTCAACCCCTCCTAGGGTCACAGCCCAGCTGCCCCACCTCCACCCCCAGTCTGAGGCAACTCTGCCTCTGAGTCCTTCATGGTGTTCTTATTCCCCAAACCTCCCTCTTCTCCCATTTTATAGACCAGGAAACTGAGGCTCCATCACTTGAGGTGCCCCAGCACAGTCCTGGGGCTAACCAGGTCTGACTGCTGGTTTGGGTCCTACACAGCCACCCCAAACCCCCACCCCATGGACATCATTCAGGCTTCCAGTAATTACTGTTCCAACCCCTGTTTATCACCCCATGGGAGCTTGCTAAGGGCAGGATGCACCCCCACCCCCATCCCCTGAGCCCCTGACCGTGGGAAGAAAACAGGCCATCTTCTCCCCCACCACCACCTTCTGGAGTCAGAGGTGGGGGCCAAGAGAAGTAAGTGCCCTACTGCTCTGGCTTCCTCTTTCTGGCTCAGCTGCGGCCAAGTCTGAGTCAACCCCACAGGACTAGTATCTGGGCTGGGGAGCTGGGGGGGAGAGGGGGAGGGGCAGGGCCCCTGGGTTAGGAGTGGCAGGGGTCCCGGGCCAGGATAGGGAAATGGGCCTGGGCTGTGTAGCCAGTGCCCACTCTCAGGTAGGTGGTCGCACCCGCCCTCCCCAGACCCTGATAGTGCATGAGTTCCCCAGCAAGGGGCAGGGGCCTAGACCACCCTAGCTGCCCCAGAGGAATGTGTGGCGAGAGAGGACCCTTCGGTCCCCCTCGATCTCTCTGTGTCTCTGTCTCTGAAGCCCCCACCCCAAGTCCACTCGGGGAGCTTGGACTCCAGCTTTATTGGCCTGGGCTGGACTGATTGTGGGGACGGGTGGGGATGAGGTGAACCGCTGAGCGGCGGGATGGCCATGTGATTGCTGTCCCTGTCCCTGCACCTGGCGGGATGGGGACAGGGGTGAGTTGGAAAGGGAGACCTAGAGAGAAGTACAGACACCTAGAGACGCCAGCCTGGTCCCAAGAGGCGTGGGCCCCAGGGGGCGGGTCCGGCCTAGGGGCAGGGCCACCGCTGGGTTAAAGGCAGCTCCTTCCCCTGGGCGCTGCTCTTGCAGCTGCGCCCGTGCTCACGCTGGGATGGCCTGGTCGCTACTCCTGCTGTTCCTGCCCGTGCTGCTGCTCCAGGTCCCCGCGGCGGCGCGCGCGTCCCCGCTGGACACACTCCCCGAGGGCGCGGCCCCCTGTAAGGTAGGGACCGCGACGGAGACCTGGCGGGGCAGCCGGGGGTCTGGAGGGGACACGCCGGGTAAGCGCGGAAAATCCCCCTGCTTAACCCCAGGCGCTGTGGCCATACTCTGGGAGTACTTTCGCTTTCCCATCTTCGGCTGAGACGCTCGGCTGTCGCCACCGGCTTCGCCCAAGGGTGCATTGAGCACCTACTGTGTACATCTAGGGTGGGAAAGGAGTTTCCTCTTGGAGGCCAGGGGAAGCCCAGACAAGCCTGCCTATGGCACCCGCATCCCTACTGGATGCACTCTGGCCAGGGAGGAGCTCCGAGTGTTTCTGGTGCCCCGCAAACATATGCGCCGGAGGCTGAGCGACTTGCTCACCAACCTGGGTGCCTGCCGCCCCTCGGCTGAAGCCGGAAGTCAGCATTTATTAGGTGCCACCTCCGCAGTGGACTTGGGAGGGGTTCACGTGGGCCCCTTGAGAGGAAGAGGAGTCAAAGCAGGTGTAGGGCCAACGCTCTGGGCATGAAGTGGCAGCAAATGAGCACCCACTAGTCTTCTGCGGTATGCGCCTCCGGGAAGGCGGGGTTGATGTCAGGGACCAGAAATGTGCTTGACTTGAGTCCTTAACTGCATATGGTTCCCCTGGGCCAGAGGTTTCACCTTACCTAGAAAAAAAAGCAAGAGCTGTGCATGAATTAAATGCCCACTGTATACAAGTCTGTCCCGTCTGTTTTGCAGCCAAACAGATTTAGGGAAGCAGTAAAGCCTCAGAGTCAGGAGTGCACTAAGGATGGAGCACTTACTATTTGCATCTCCCTTTCTGCAAGAAAACCAAGTAGGGCTACACTTGCTTCACACCGCTTCCTCCTGCACAGGCTGGTAACCTGTGCCCACACGTGCCCCTTGGGAAGCCCCGCGCACCACCTGTCAACGTGAGCCTCTATTATGAGGCACTGTGCCCTGGCTGCCGGTCCTTCCTCGTCCGAGAGCTGTTCCCAACATGGCTGATGGTCCTGGAGATCCTCAATGTCACTCTGGTGCCCTATGGAAATGCCAAGGTACATGGGTGCTGGGGAAACTAAGGCACATGGCCAAGGTTGGGGGACACCTGGCAGGCTGGCCAGTATTCACCCCACTGCCTTGCAGGAACAGAATGTCAGCGGCAAGTGGGAGTTCACGTGCCAGCATGGGGAGGAGGAGTGCAAGTTAAACAAGGTGGAGGTGAGCAGCCCCCAGAGTCCCACGTGCGGGATGCAGAGGCCCGGGAGGCTGCGGGTGGTAATGAAGATAAAATCCAAGCTCAGAGGGGATTGGAACCAGCTCTCTCCCCTGCCAATGTGTGTCTATTTCATTGCAACTTCATTCATTGCTGTTAGTGGACACCCATGATTATTACCAGAGTGGTCTTGGCATGTTCTGTGTCCCCTCATGCCTTTGCCTGCCCATCCCCCATTCCCACCCCCAGGCCTGCCTGTTGGACCAGCTGACGTGGAACGCAGCCTTCCTATCCATTGTCTGCTTAGAGGAAATGGATGACATGGAGAACAGTCTGAAGCCGGTGAGTGACAACCCTTACTTGGCCCTGGTTGGGGGACCCTGGCCTTCCCTGCACTCAGATAGACCCAGTTCAAGCCTGGCCCTAACTGCCACTCTCTGTATCGCCCCAGGGAAACACTCTTTCCTTTCTAAGCCTCAATCTTTGAATCAAGGGAAGGAAGATCTGGGGGTATGAGTAGATAAAGAGTGCTTTCTCTAGGAGCCTGTGAGCTGGGCTTCCATTAACAAGAATGTGTAGGGATACAGATGATGATCCTCCTCTGGGTAATGAGGATGACAAGACAGGCCCGCCTACCTCTCTGGAGGATTATGAAAAAGAGCTCCCAAAGGAATGACTCACCTGCCCTGATCATTTATTCATTCATCAAACATTCAGGCCACCCAGGAGGCCTCACCCTGGGACACCCCACCCTACAGAACCATAGTAGGGCTAGCAGAGTACAAAGGAGGAGGGACCCCTGAGAAGATGCTGAGGAAGCTAGAGGATGGGTGTTCCTGGTGGAGGGAACAGCACAGATGAAAGCTCTGAGGAAAATGTAGGGGTCAGGGGGTGCAGGTCTGGTCACAGGGGACTCAGGAGCAGCCTGAGCCCCTGCCTCGGGGGCCTCCACTTAGGCATATATGAAGCACCTGCTGTTTACATGCATTATTACATTGCTGTGGACCCAACTGTCCCCTGTTGCCAGTGAGGAAACAGAAACTTGGCTTGGGGGCCAACTGGGGAACTGTTGGGGAGATAACAAGGAGATAGCTGAGGCTCACTGCCCTTCCTCTGCCCTCAGTGCCTGCAGCTCTATGCCCCAAAGGTGTCCCCAGACACCATCATGGAGTGCGCAATGGGGGACCGCGGCACACAGCTCTTGCACATGAATGCCCAACTTACAGACGCTCTGCAGCCACCCCACGAGTATGTGCCTTGGGTCGTCGTCAATGGGGTAAGAAGGCTTGTAGCCCTCAGGTTGGCCCCCAGGCGGGGACCAGGGTGATAGATGTACCTACCAGCCTGGGAGGTGGGAGGCAGGGGCCAGACTTAGGGCCATTTGCAGCCGCTTCTGGGCCTGGCATTGGTTGGTGAGGGCAGGTGGCACCTCCTGTCTTGCTTTGTGCAGAAACCTTTGGAAGACATGAGCCAGCTCCTAACCGTCGTGTGCCAGTTGTACCAGGTAAGCCAGACAGGCAACAGAGGGATTTAGTGGGTGGGGGTAGGGTCTCTTTCAGGCCCCAACTCACAACCATCTCCTCCAGGGTGAGAAGCCAGATGTCTGCCCATTCATGGCCAGCTCCCACAGGGATGTCTGCCTCAAGTGATAGCCGTTGCCCTTGGAGGGAGCTGATGGAGGAAGAATGAGCTCCCACCCGCCTTCATTTTTCTGATCCCTGACTTATCAGCTATGGCTTATCATCTGGATAACTTATACATTCCATAAAATCCAGACTCAACATTTTGCCCCAAGATCAAGAATCTTACCCCACTGAGAATGGTGCTACATCGAAACTAGTTTAATAAACGCTTCTAGATGTTGTGACAATATCCCTCCATTTCCCCACACCCCCAGCCTGTGACAACTGCTGTCCTTTTGTTTCTATGAGTTTTACTTTTTTAGATTCCATATATAAGTAAGATCATATAATATTTGTCCTGTGTCTTATTTCACTCAGCATAGTGTCCTCCAGGTTCCTCCATATTGTCACAAATAGCAGGATTTCCATATATATATATACACATATACATATATATATATACATATGTATATGTATATATACACACACACACACATATACATACATATAGTCAAATAATATGTGTTGTCTCTTTTGTTAAAAAGAATCTCAAGGAAAGAACTTCTTTGGCAGATCTAATTAGTTTTGCCCTGATAATTTACACAGGTGCAGCAGGCATTCAGTTTGCTTTGCTGGAAGTTTCTGTAAGGAATCTCAGGTTGGACTTTGAAAAGCCTCTATCACTGGCTAACTAAAGGTGAGAAACTCTACCAGGTTTCACCTGCAGTATCTATGCCTCTTGGCAAATTACTTTCTTCTTTTTTAAAAAATTATTTTCTTGATTAGAGAGAGAGAAACATTGATTTGTTCCACTTATTTATGCATTTATTGGTTGATTCTTGTATGACCCGGGATTGAACCCACAACCTTAGCATAGCGGAACAACTCTAACCACTGAGCTACCAAGCCAGGGCTACTTTCTTCTTGACATTCCCAAAATGTTACAAGTATCTTGGTGGGCCAGGATCAACCTGTAAGACTGAACATGCAAGGCAGGTCTAAACAAATTTTCCTACGAGGATTTTGTAAATATCAGCTCCCAAAAGTGAAACTTGGTTCTTAAGTGAGGTTGTTGATGAAGTTTACCTGACTCTGTCCAGTGAATCATAATTTCACATTTTTAACCATGTTGAAAGATTTCCACCAAGATGCAGTAAAACCTGGTCTAGAATACCAGGTTGAGGTACTTCACAGCAATAGGAGGTGCTGAAGGATAATTTTCCCCAAAAAGGTAAAATCGCAACTCTCACACAGATGTAAAAATTAGCACGTCTTAAAAATTGTTAACTCATTATTGTTATTTTTTTAAATATATCTTTATTGATTTCAGAGAGAGGAAAGGAGAGAGAGGGAGAGAGAGAGATAGAAACATCAATGATGAGAGAGTCATCGATCAGCTGCCCCCTGCACACCTCCGACTGGGGGTCGAGCCCACAACCTGGACATGTGCCCTGACTGGGAATCGAACCCCAATCGCCTAGATCTTAGGTCAACGCTCAACCACTGAGCCACGCTTGGCCGGGCTGTTGACTCACTATTAACGAGGAGAACTGGTCAGGTGTTAACACTGAAAGGTTAAGGTCAGTGGTGCGCGGGCAGGCGAAATAGCCATCTCAGACGGGTGAATAAAGAAAAATTTATTAAAAGGGAATGGGGATATCCAAAGGGAAGGGCAACACAGCACTGAGCCAAAGGGTACTGGGTCCATGATGGCAGCAAAAATATACTTGAGGCAGTGAAATAAGAAAGACCATAGAAGCAGCAACAGGAGAGCCTAGGCTGGGCTGCTTTGGCTCACCGAGAAGTCAGAGAAAGAAGGGGGCCTTGGAGACAGGTTCAGGGGGTAAGCCTGGGACACACTACCACTGCCCATTGCTCCCCTGGTTGCAAGTCTCGTGGGGTCCCATCAGAAGGATAGAGATGGCACTGACATGCTCCCTCAGTGGGGAGCGAGCACTGGGTCCTTTGTCCTGAGTGTATTTATCTCTTTCTTGCAGGTAGGAAATCTTAGGGGAGGTCTCAGGGAAGTATCTCAATAGAAAATTCATCAGCTTTTCAGGTGTGCTCTTTCAGGGTCTGGTCTCCACTGATTGGTTGGTGCCAGAGCAGGGGGTCATTAGTCAATGTGCCTGGTCCTGAGGCAGCCAATGGGCCACTTGTCCGGTTTTGCTGTTTATCTGGGCCTGGAGCTGAAAAACAACTGAGGCCTAGATGTTATATTTAGGGAGGAATGCTCAGGGGGTCTCAACCACCTGACCAGTGATATGCTGGGGGAGGATAGGTTACCCTGGGGACAAGTTCTTGTTTTCCCAGTTTCTCCCCTTGCTAGGCATCCGGGGCTTCCTGCCCTGTTGAGTCTCCATACCTGGGCTTCTGTACCTGGGTTTCTGTGCCTGGCCCATCTAACAAACACCATTTGAAAGGAGATCCAAAGAACAAACATATTAGGAATATTAAAGTGAATGTGCAAAGGCAAAAATAATTTAGGGAGAATCTTTCCAACTGCAGAATTTATTTGCATATCCATAGGCAAAAATTATTTTTTGCTGTTATCAGTTATAACTAGAGCTTATAAAAAGTTTCCGTAGAATCAGAATCAGTATACTCTGAAGGGTGTCCTGTAATACAGGGCAATTTATTTTTTGTAAAATGACATATAATAAAGTTTAGTTTTTGCAGGCCAAAGTCTTTGTTGCAATTCCTCTGTAGTGAGAGTAAACAACACAAAAAGGAATGGGTATGTCTGTTCCAATAAAAGCCTTATTTTCAGGACATAGAAGTTTGAATTTCATATAATTTTCACATGCCCCAGAATATTATTTTGATTTTTTTTCCCCCTGACCAATGCAGAAATGTAAGAAACATTCTTAGCTCGTGGGCCTCACAAAAAGAGGCAGTGACAGGATTTGGCTCGCGGGCTGTAGTTTGCGACACCCTATTCCTGAAGCGTAGGTAATGCATAGGTTTCCACTGAAACTCACATTTTCCCTTACAGTAATATAGGGAGGGGCGTGGGGATATAATTATTTGTGCAGCATCAGAGTTGCTGCGAAATAAGTTAATGCACATAATGTGCTGGGAACAGTGCCTACCACTTTTATTATTATTGTAGAACTAAGGTCAGACGCCCAGCTAAAGTCAAGACCAAGGTCAGTTTCTGGACCTGGCTCCCACTGGGCTCCGAGCGTAGCGGAACTGTAGCCCCACCCCCAATGCCGTGAGTCTTCTTGGGATTAGACTTCCGCCCCGGTAGCTGACATGGCCACAGGTCTGAATGCGGGCTCAGGAATTTCGCCAGAATCTGGGAATCCCGACGGCTATTAGACCACAGCGCGTGGTAACGGTCTAAGATTGGCCCTATCAACGGCGGGACGATAGGCGAAAGGGTGGTCAGAGATTGGTCAGGGCAGCACCGAGCTGGTAAGTAAGAGTTGTGGCGATGATTACCCATAGACCAGTGCAGAAAGGGGCGAGGAAACACGCGCGAGACGTTAGCAATTGGCATGCGCGGCGTAGTGCGTCGCTTACTTGTGATTGGTCCATATGGCTATGCTTGACTTCGTTCAGCGATTGGCCAAGGGATGGGACCCTGGTCTTTTATTGGATAACATTTCTCGGGGCGGGCAAAGTGGAGCACTGAGCGGTCAGTGCTTGGCCATCTGGGCGCGGCCGGGAGGCACAATTGGCACCTGCAGGGTGGCCCGGGGCGCCGGTTCTTGGGTCCCCGCGCGCGATGGCATCGGGTGGCTGGCGCTGGCTGCGGGGCCTGTGGGCAGCGGGGCAGCCCATGTTCCAAGGCCGTGCCCTGCTCGTTACCAACACGCTGGGTTGTGGCGTTCTCATGGCGGCTGGTGACGGCGCACGCCAGTCCTGGGAGATCCGAGCCCGGCCCGGCCAGAAGTTTGACCCAAGGCGCTCAGGTGAGAAGGCCGACGCTGCTGGCCCTTGACCGCGGGGAACCTTTGACCCAGACCTCAGATTTGGAACCCCCTGGACTGGACCCGTGGGCCGTGACCTCTAATCCGTGGACTGAGTCCCCCGGGAGGACCCTTGATCTCCGCGTGCACCCTAGAACCTGACAGCCCCTACCCAGGTCTCCCCTCCCACTCGGGGTTCTCGGTTC